CAAATTCATCTTGACCACAATTTCAGAAGAATAAATTTAATAAACTAGACCTAGCATTTAGAATTTATGATGAAGATGAGAGAAATTCCATCATTTACTAGCTATACAACCTTGGAATAGTTGTTTAATGTCTGTTCCTTAACTGCCTCATCTGTAAAGTGCAGATAAATATATTGTTGTGAGAATTAAATATATAAAGAAACAGCTAAATGTGATGTGGTACCTTGATGAGACCCTGGGATAGAAAGAAAAGAACAGTAGTGAGGGAAAAAATGGTAAAATCAAAACTTGCAGTTTATACCATTATTAATGTCTTTTTTTTTTACTAATCTCTCAGCAATGGGATGTTATTAATGTCTTAATTTTGAAAATTGTGTCATGCTATATGAGACAAGGTCTGGCTAAGTTCCTCATGTGGGACTTGAATTTGCAATCTGTCTACCTCAGACTCTTAAAGTTCTGGGATCACAGGGATAAATTGTGCACTTCAAAAAACATTATTAAGAGCCAGGTAAGGTGGTGCACACCTGTAATCACAGCACTCAAGAGGCCGAGGCAGGAGGATTACTATGAGTTTGATGCCAGTCTGGAACACATAGTGAGACCATGTTTAAAAAAAAGAAAAAGAACATCATTAAGAAGGTGAAAAGATAACTATAAGAATAAGAAAACAATTTGCAAATTACATCTGATAAGGAATTTGAATATCAAAAACCTCATAAAAAAGACAACATTTATGTGGAAATACCAGGGAAAATATGGAACTGGAGCACACAAGAACCATTGGTCAGAAGGGACATGCAAACTAGTAACTATTTTTTGAAAGGTCTATACTGGGTCAAGGGCATTCAAAGACACATCGTGCCATCTTTTCAACGAATCCAGCTAGGAATAGTAGCTGACAGTGACTGAGCACATACTGTGGGCCAAGTCCTTTGGCTCCACTGCATGCATTATCTCCAGTCTCACCAAAGAAGTTTGGTGACAAATAAGAAGCTTCTCCAAATTTGACCCACGAATAAACAATTCTATTTTAGAGAAATTAGTGAAGCAAATGAAAGGTTGTGGGATCTGTTTAAAATAGTTCAGTGTCAGGGGCTGTGAGCCAGACCAAACAGCACGGCTTCCCACACACCCTACTTGGCCTGTGATTACTCAAATCCCAGGCTGGCCCCAGAACTGCCCACCAAAACACACGACTGAAAAGCAGTTTGCCAGGTAAAGACAGAGCTGGTCCTGGTGTTAGCCATTTAATTGACTAAGAGTTACCTGGGAGGAAATACACAAAATTTTTCTTTGTATTTATAAAATTTTGCTTAGCACCACAACTCTCCACTCTAGTTTTCCACCACCTCACTTGGCAATTTGCTTTTCCAGCTCTGTAACAGCTCAGTGAGGCTGATGATGGGGTAGGGGAAGGAGACATGGCTCATTGTAAGTTTATCTAGGTAAAGAGTCTGCAGAGATGTACATTTATTTAGGCACCAAAAGTTTTAAGACTTTTTGTCAATGGCATGTGGTTGGTTTTACCTTGTGCTCCCATGACTAGCACAAGGGTAGAAGCTAGACCTTGAGACAAGAGAAACACAAGTGACAAGGCAGATGAGTGGGAAAAGATGTTCTCTTTTCTATCCATGAAGAAGACTGCCTGGCCATGGTGAGGCAGGTCCAGACACAAGTGTGCCTGGAGAGTAGAAGCACAGGCAGCACTGAGGAACACCTGGCCTAGGTCGATGTGAGGCCCGAGGTGACGAGAGGTCAGCAGAGCCTCTGCTGGAGAGGAAGAGCTCCTTGGTGGTCATGGGGCGGGAGGGGGGGAGGGGAGGGAGAATGTGGCCCCAGACAGTGTCAGCACTGGCTTCTCTGTTCTGGTTAGAGGTGGGGGGTGTGTGTGATGGCTGCCTATCCTGTCCCAAAGCAGAGGCGGGGAACAGTTAGCAGCTCCAGGTGCATCTCAACTGCCACGGCATCTCTCAGGCTTGGGGTCTCTCATGTGTACAGCATGCACTTCCTTTTGAGAAAAAAAAAAAATCAGAGAAACAACATCTTTAAAGTCAACTAGTGTCTTTCTATCTCAGCCTGCTCTTCCATTATTGAGAATGGCCTCAGAGAAAACTGCAGACAGTTTCTGAGTAAGTGTCTGCCCAGCAATGAGGAGTGATGACAAGGCAACTTTCTAATCTTACTGCAGACACAGTAGCAGTTACTTTCTGAGAGTTAGTTTGGGAAGACTTAAGAAAGGCTCTCCTCTTCCATGGTTTAAGATGCTTGATTTCCACTTTTGGTAAAATCTAGAATGCACTAGAAATAGTAGTCATAGACCCAACAAAGTGACATTACCACCTCCTTATGTGAGATCACAGGATAGTGAATGGGGCACTTTCATAGAGAATGTCACAGACAGGAAAGAGGCCTCTCTTACCCTGGATACAATCTCTGAATTCTTGTGACACTGCAGCTGTACCCCTTCTCTCTCATCCCATCTGTGTAGACACGAGCTGGTCTGGGTCTTGCATCAGAGAAGCGTTCAGTAGTTAGAGGGCTTTGGAGCTAGGCTGACTGCATTGGAATTCTGGGTTTTCCACTGACATTTTTTTTTTTTTTTTTTTTAATCGGTCCCGGGGATCGAACTCACGACCGCCTGCTTACAAGGCAAGGACTTATGCTGCTGAGATAAATCCCCAGCCTCCACTGAGATTTGTATTTTACACATATTCATCTCATTCAAGTAGTGGAGAAACTGAGGTAAAGTTAATTATTCAATAATTCATTCAACAAGTATTTGTTGAGAGCCAAGCAACTGTTGTGAATGCTGTGGTCATAGAAAAATAATACCTCTGTACTCATGAAGTTCACATTCTAGTGTGAAGAGGTAAATAATAAACAAAGGAAGATATAAAATCCAAAGGATACCAAAAAGTGAGAAATGTAAAACTGGGAATAGGCTACCATCCATCCATCCGTCCGTCCATCCATTCAAGACAGCATCACTCTATGTGGCCCAGGCTGGCCTCAAACTTACGATAATCCTCTGGCCATACCCTCCTGAGTGCTGGGATTATAGGTGTGTCTCATCACACTAGGGTATGAGAAGAGGCTTTTTAAAAAAACAATCAAGAAAAAAAAAGATAAAAAAAAAGACCTTGCAGGTGAGAATTGAGCAGAGAGAGATCGATCTAAAGAAGGTAGACAGCCAGCCTTGTGGAATCTGGCAGAAAACCATGTGGGGAAGGGCAAGTCCCTGGCTGGGGTCTGCTGTATACAAGAACAATAAGGAGACCGTAAAGTTCTGAGATTTGTCCAGACTTAATCAACACCAAGTTTGAAACCTGGTTTAGAGCCAAAATTCTACAAGTGAATATTTTAAAATTTTATGAGTATTGCAAATGCTCTTCAGGTTTTATTTTTTTCTAATTGTTATTGTGAATAATTTGTAAGTTTTTAAACAGGCCTAGTATTTTTACTATTAATATAAATTTCTGGGGCTGGGGATCTAGCTCAGCAGCAAAAGCACCTGCCTGCAAGTGCGAGATTGTGAGTTCCATCCCCAGTACAATAAAAAAAAATTAATAATTTCTAAGTGTACAATTCAGTAGTATTAGGTACATTCAGTGCTTTGCAATCATCACTACTATACACTTGGAGAACTTTTCTTTCATCATTTTAAAAAAGCAGTTCTGCATCCATTGCATAACTCTCCCCAACCCCACTCCTGGCAGTGTTTACTCTATTTGTCTATGAATTTGCCTACTTTGGGTATCTCATATATGCCTGGCTTATTTCATTCAGCATCATGCAGTCAGGGTTTATCCATATTATACCAAGCATTGGTATTTATTTCATTCTATAGCTAACATTTCTATTTACCCACTACATTTACCCATTCATCTTTTACGGACATATGATTTGTTTCTACCTTTAGCTCTTGTGAATAATGTTGCCAAGAACACTGCTTTTTAAGTACTACCGGAGTCCTTGGTTCAAGTATGTACCTAGAGCTCCTGGATTGTATAGTAATGTTTATCTTTGAGAAAACAACAAACTTTTCAGAGTGGCTACAGTTTCTTTGCAGTCCAAGTAGCAATTTAAAAGGTTCTGATTTTCCAGATTCCTGTCAACCTTCACTTATTTGACATATAAGTCCTACTTTGTTGAACAAGCTGGTCTTGAATTCCTGGGCTCACTTATGATCCTCCTGGCTAATTGAGACTACAGGCATGTGCAATTGTACCTGGCTGTCTTCCTTTTGCAATATGACCCTATTATGTATGAAATATATCTCATTGTGATTCAGGCTTTCACTACTAGTGTCAAATTAGTGCTGTATTTTCAATGGCTGTACTTATGTTTGAGTTTGGCTCTAGTGACTATTTCTTGACCCAGTTTTAAACTTTTGGTTCTCAACTGGGGATAATTTTCATTGTTTTCCTTGTTGGTGACAACTGACAATGTGTGCAAAATTGTCATAACCGAAGGGGGGGCATCTAGTGGATAGAGGCCAGGGTGCTACAAAAGATCTTATAATGGGGTAACCTTCTGCAATAAGAATTGTTTGCTTGCAAATAGTGCTAATAATGCCAAAGTGGGGAAACTGTGGATTATATAGCTATCTTGTCACATTTCATGTATTTCCATAAGGTGTTTCAAATCCTCTTGGGCACAGCAGAATATTCAGTGAACTACTGTTTCTGAACTAAATGATACTAACACTGTGGCAGAGTAGCAGAGTAGCAGACACATAATTTTTATAATGTTCTCCATATGCAAATTCAAAGCCTGCATACTTGAGTGCATTTATAGAATGTTATAAATTTAATATCTTAAAGTAGTATTCTCTGTTGAGCATTTAAATACATATGAGTGGGCCAGGTAAGTGCATTAGTTCCTGCATTCACACAGCACAAACTTCCCTAACACAAATCTCTTGATAGTCCAAATATTCTTTAACAGTGTTTTGAAATCTCTCCCCCTTTTAAAGTTGAACAGTTTGAGACATCAAATTCTTATAAAATGGAAAACTTTAATTGTTTGAAGCAAAGGCACAAGTAAACATTTGAGGTTATCATACAATGTTATAATAAAAAATGCCAACAGTAAAATGAAATACATTATAACTTTGCATCTCTGCAGGATACTGAATATATTATTCTAGCATCTTCTTTGAAGTGAAAAGGAATGTGTAGATCAATGGATGTGATATAAAAATTGGATTATAAATAGCATTCCCTATTTTATCTAGAAATTTTAATTTCTACAATTTCAGTAGAATTAAATGAAAATGAATTATTTTTAAAACATTTTGTTAATGTAAAGCAGCAAAACTTTCAAGCTAAAACTCGTTTTAACATATCACTGATTTCACAAAATGTTAGCTGTCGATATCTGACATGATACAATAGTCAAGCTCATCATGAAAGAACCTTACTGAAAGAATTCATATACTTATTTTACTTCAAATTTGAATATTAGTATATTATGTAAATGACAAATTAGGGACCAAATGATTTATGATGTCAGAAATAATATACTCTAAAATGTCTAGACCTTATTTTCAATAAAAGGCACTATCTGGAGAGTAGTAAGCTGTACCATGTTCAGAGTGGAGGACAAGTAACGGCCAGTTAATTGGAACTTGAGTCTTAGTAAAGAATGAGTAGCTACTATCTAACAAATGAAACCAACCAATTAACCAACAAACTACCGTCAATGACAAAAACAGAAATTGTGTAAAGTTGTACCTTTGACCCTTGTCCCAAGGGAAAAAAGGTACCATTAGTTTTTTTTTTTGTTTTTGATACTACACATTGAACTCACGACCTCGTGCTTGCAGGGCAGGCACTCTGCTGCTGACCTGCATCCCCAGCTCCTGTCATTAGTTTTCAAAAAGTCTTTTGAAGTATCTTCTTGAATACTGTTTCATTGCTTCAATGCAATGTCCACTTAATTCAATTTACTTAGTCTCTATTCTTAGTGTCATTCTAGGGTGGCAATGACACCAGAAATGTAAACTATCCCAAGGGAACAAGTTTTTCTATTGTGAGTCATTTTACTCACTTTTCTTCCATAATACTTTTCAATGCTAAGCATTTAAGTGAATGACATTTAAATGAAACAAAAAAAAAAAATCCGAGATTAAAATATATTAGGTTCTAATGCCCTCAAAATCTTGAAAAACTTACAATAACTTGAATGAAATGGAGTCAAATCAGGGCATATTATTCTTTCATATCCTAAAGGCCAGGAAATTGTAAAATTCTTCTAAAACACATTTTGAAATGTGGTCTCACCATGTTGCCCAGGATAGTCTTGAATCCTGGGACTCAAATGACCTTACCTCAGCCTCCCAACAACTGAGATAAATGTACACATTACTGTGTCTATTTTAAAAGAATAAACCTGAATGAGAAATGTTGTTTCTAGTTTTTCATTGTCCAACTGTAGAAATATCAACAAACTAAGGTTTACTTACCATGATTATTTTAATATTCACTTCTTAACTAGAAAGAGTACTTAGGAAATTCTCTAGGAATATCTTTCAAAATTCAGAATTCAAATGTGATTCTAGAAATATGTTCCTTTTTAAAAAAATTTATTTAAAGAGAAAAAAAAGCAAAATAGAAAAAAGGGTAGCAACAATACAGAACTCCAAAAAGAAAAATTAAACACTAAGAAAAAGTTAAATTAATATTTACTCAATGAAGCACATCCTAAAGATCAAGAGCAGTGATTCATCTTTTAAAGAACAGGGTCAGGATTTTGGAATCCATTCCTTTTTTGATTCTCCAAAAATATAGATAGCCTTCCAAGATTTTTTAAAAATAAAATTAAAGGTTTTAGCATATAAAATAGCTGGGCTGGGGATGTAGGTCAAAGACAGAGTGCCTTCCTAGTATGCATGAGACTCTGGGTACAATCTCCAACACAACAAAACAAAGAAGTTTCATATAAAACAGTTAGGATACTTTCCATTGGAACTGTTCTGCAGTATATGATCCATGAGGAAATTTTAAGATTTCAAATCATTAGTGCAACAGTAAGCAATTTTCAGCTTTCTATTAAGCTCAACTAAACTAATAAAATTAAACTTTTGGAGTATCTAGAGCAAGGGTTATCAAATCTTTTCTGTCTAGGGCCAGAGAGTAAATATTTATGCTATGTGGGCCATATGGTCTCCATTGCAACTATTCCACTCTGCCATTATAGTATAAAATCAACCACAACATATGGTAAACAGATAAGCGTGTGTTTCAATAAAACTTTAAGGACACTGAAATTTGAATTTTATATAATTTTTATGTCACAAAATATTATTCTTTTGAGTGTTTTCTAAACTGTTTAAAAATGTAAAAAGCATGCAGTTGACTGGAATTAACCTTGGGCAGCAGATTCCTGTGTAAATCACTTACTCAGAGCTTTATTATTTATTTATTGTAGTACTAAGGATCAAACTCGGGGTCTTGTACATGATGGACAAATGCTCTACCACATCTCTAGAGCCATTCAGGTTTCCTGGTGTAGGGTTTAAGACACTAACAGGGCTGTGAGTCATCTTATTTCACTTGGGCATTTGAAAGCCTTTTAAGCTGATAGTAAAGAACTTCAAAAGAGAATCCCCAAAGCACTATGGTTCCAGATAGTGTATTAATTCTAGGAGGAGAATCTATATTCATAAGTTATGTGGAGCATATGAGTGCAGATATTCAGGAAATATATTTAAATCAAATTTATTTAAGTCATATTGTCAGAAGAACAGGGAATTGAGAAATTCATTAGCTGGATCTTTTAAAAAGTTCTGGTGTCAAGAAGATCTGGATTTGAATCTTGGCTCTAATTATTACCTTGTCACCATTAACCAGTAGAATTTAACCACTAGAATTTAAACATAGAAGGCATGTTTTCCATCTCATTTATCAGTCAGACAAAGCTACAAAAGCTTTCCTGGAAAAACAATCGACACTGCAGCATAAGGCTTAACTTCTGGTTTTAGATAGAAAACTACTTGTCTCTTCTCCATTCTATCATAATTATTTCATTTATGCTGTCACATATGTAATACTCTACAAAGATACACTTTCATACAAACCAAATTCTGCTTTTTTCTATTGTCAATGGCTGTCCTTTCCACAGGCTGCTAATGAAAATGAGAATGAAAAGTATTCAGTCAATACATTCCTTTTGTCTTTTCATAGACTAAGCATAAGTAGTTGTTCCCACCAATTTACAATAACAGGCATTTAGTTTTTCTCAAAAAAGTCTAAATGATACAAAAGAATTTAAAAGGATTCTTATGGCTTTATCTATTGATAGAAACTAGACCATCTGAAGATAATGTTCATAGATTTGCAGATATAAATGCTATGTATCTTTGATCTTAGCCCACTGTTTAAATTATAGTAAGTAGAACATTAGCACTAATTAATGTGCTATAACCTTTTTAATCATGAAAAACTTATTAGCGGCATATACATGAAGATATTCTCAATAGTGCTTTTCAACAAGTTTTGAATCTGGTAGTGTTGAATGCTAAGCAAAATATTAAAGCTATTAAAATATTAGTGTCTTATTTTAAAGTGTTTTTTTTAACCTATTATTTACAGACATCCTGCTAAAATGTTGCAAGCAATCATTTTGCAAATATATGTTCCTCATATAAAATGACGTTCAATGTTGGGTGGTATAGATATATAAATATGTACAAATATTTGCAGTTAACCTATTATTCTGACAGGTCACCAACACATGGAAGCATTAGGCACATATAAAATTAAAAATTAAAACAAAAAACTCCCAAAACAGATAAGTTAAATTGTATTTATAAAATTATACAGAAAAAAAGCTTTGTGTTTGAGAACCATGAGTGGACCACTAATAAAATGGTAATTTTAGTGAAAAAATATTCCACAGACACATTTGCACACGTGCGTGCATGTGCACACAACACATACACACCAAACCAAGAAAATCAAGTATCTATCTTGGTCATACATCTGTAGATTGCCACCTTGAGAAACAACTGACAGACATAAATACACAATTTGTTCACAGAGCATAAAATATTGCACAAGAGCAGTTTGTCTGGAGAAAATTAAATTTTCCATAGTTTTTGAACTTCAAAATGGCTCTCGTTTGGTTATAGTTGTAGTTTATAAACAAGAAACATTAATATTCAGTAATACTGTTAAAATCTTATTTTACCCATTAACCATATTCCAGTCTACTTTCTGGCAATGGAAAATCAGTGGTGAAGATTTGGCAAAGATAAAAGGTAGATTAGATTGCAAAACATAATATATGTACATATGAAACAGGTATGTTCCAAAAACCCCTAATCATATGGCATCTGATCCCTTTAAGAAATCCAGTCTAGGTCACAGTGATGGTCAGACAGTGGTTGAATACGACTCTCTCCGTGGGGCCCGTTCCTTTGAAACCGCTTGATCCCTCTCTCTGGTCTGTAGCACACTGTCTTCTGTTTCGCTTTCACTACCATCTGCCACATGGGGATTCAAAGACACTGGAACAGAACTTCTGTGCAAAGGAAAACCAATGCCACTTTCCTGTAAAGAATTATCTATAAACTCTTCATCGGAGGAGTGCAATGATTCATCATCTCCTATTAAATGGTTGACAATGTGGATTCCATCAAAAGGAGGTTGGCCTGAGAAGCCCCTCTGGCTTTTTAGGCATCTGAGCTGTTAAAACAAAATTCAAGTTAATATACTCAAATTGTGAAAACATACACAAACAGCAAGAAAGACTGTTTCATGTTAAGAAAGAGGACAACTTGACCTGTTTCTGTTTCACAAGTATAATAACTACCAATTTTTGAGTGTTCCCTATTTGTTTTGTAATTGGCACATAACTTCATTTAACTGAATCATGACACAGTCCTACGCAGTAGATATAATTACTCTCTATAGATGAGGAAATAGAGACTTGGGTAATTTATTAAGGTCTAACACCTAAGAGCAGTGTTAAACTAAGCCTTCATTGTTCTAGAGAAGATATAATAAACTCCATGTAGTCACTTATGATTTTCAATAACTAAAACATCACAGAGAATTTGTATACATTATATGCTACTTCTTGAAGTAAATCCCAGACATCCTATCAGCTCACTTTTAAATGCTCCAACTGTATTTCTAGAAGATATGAACTTCAAAATCATGCTCTTAATAATCAAACTGTCTTGAGTACATCTATAATTCTGTAAATGATGACAATGATTCACAAATCATTAAAATTTGCTGTTTCTCCATTCTGCTATAATATCTCACTGTACCACTATCACTTGAAGATAAGCAGAAACACTTCTGCCTTCTTTAACCCCTTTTCTCCAGGGAGGAGTGACTTGTTTCACCAGGGAAAAGGAGAGAGGAACTAAGGAGGTCAAATGCTATCTGACCTTTCAAGGTGTATGTGTGTTTCCTCACTAATTCTAGAGTTCCCCACTAGAAAATTATTGTCTCATTTAAATTTAGACCACAATCTCCAGGATAAATCAGTTTTATCAGGATTAAAGGTGATTTCTTTATATCATCTGCCAGACTTTTGCTTACATTCCTTCAAACCCCAAACTCACCACTACTAATACCAGTTGCACTAAATAAAGACCCCAGATCTGTCTTCAGGAAGTTACATTTTAAACATCAACTTTAATTTTGTTTCTTTCACTTGTTTCACTTTTGCAAACACCAAGAATTTTCTTCTACAATATAGCATAAAAAAATCCTAAAAAATAGTAATTACCAAATATCTTGATTAATGTATTAAAGATCTTGCTAAAATATTCTCTATGCCTTTTACACTTATCCTTACTATCAACTTTCATTTTGTTTTTCAGGGACACATTCCTAGTTACTATCTTTCAAATCTTGAGATTAAAGCAATGTGAAATATTCAGGAAATGTTACGTACATTTTCAAAATTAACGGTTCTGAAAGTAAAGGCATGCCGGCCTTGCCAAAATCCCTCCCAGCTCTCCTGACAAACTTCCAGGAAGAAGCAAAGAAACCTCAGTATTTCCCTGTTTGCATGTGACAAGGGGAAGCATGAGAGAAGCTGTGGCTCAGTGTAGTGATGTCTGACCCAGGTAGACCTTCAACTATAAAGAAACACCACAGCCCTAACAACACAGTTATAGTGAGATACAATGAATTTTAAATAATACCTTTCTTCTTGGCAGAACAGAAGGGATCTAAACTTGGCTGCATCTTTAGGAAAAAGGTACAGAACACCAAAAGACCTCCTTGAGGTTGTGATACCTATGACATTATTATAACTGCTATGTTCTGATGCAACATCCTATTACCATATTGCAACCCATGATTTATCACTCTGAGTGTTAAATTAAGTCAGTTAATCTCTTCCTTTCTCTTTCTTTCCCCAGACACTTTGAAGAAATATTAGGGAACATGTTTCCTCTTTCCTGGCTGTTGTAGAACAGGAGTATGGCAGAAAACCACAACTTCCCAACTGTTTGGAAAGCTGTGGCTTTCCTGTGCTCTAACAAAATGTATTGCAATTACAACACTGGAGCCTTTTATCAGATGTAATTATGGAAGATTAATTTTAAGTTGAGAAATCTTTCCAATATCAAATGACATGATTAATACTTGAGAACTATTAATATAGCAGAGAAATGTTTTGAAGAAAGGCGAAGGTAAAGGACTATCTGGAAAAATCAAAGCTATTTTATAGTCATCATTTGGACTCTGAAGTGTGCACACTGGTTCTGATGAAGGAGGAGGCCTCTATAGGACTTGGAAGAGAATATTTGGGCAGGGAGTTCCAAGCTCTTAGGGAAAGGGTTGCATGGGCTTCACATGGGTACATCATGTGGGAGATGCTATTTTGTGAGCTGGATTGGCAGGAAGAAAGCTAGAGCTGCCCCTTCTAAAATGTAGCGTTACTGGCTGCTTGTATAACAATGCTGTATTGCTGGATGCAGTGGTGGCTCATTCTAGTAATCCCAGTACTCAGGAAGCCAAGGCAGGATTGCCATGAGCTCAAGGTCAGCCAGGACTACTTAGTGAATTCAAAGCCAGACTTTTCACAAAATGAAAATCTTCTAAAAACAAATGACAACAATAAAAAAATCCTGGACTATTTATCCTGATAACTAAACTTTAAGGAGCTAATTATATTTAATAGCAGACAACCAATCTTTCCAACCTCCTTCCCTCTGAACAAACAAAACTTTCATGTTATTATGGATTGCACATTTAGATTTGCATATTTTAAAGCATATCTACTGATCACCTGCATTAGGAGAACTGAATTGTTACAAATGTAAACTTCTCCAATCTAAGGAATTGAAGTCCTGCAATTAAAACCTCAGAATCTGATTTTTAAAGCATCTCAGGAGAGTCTGATATATTCCTAAAGTTTGAGAGTCATGAAGTGGGGATGCAGAGCAGTGGTACAGTGTTTGTCTAGCATACATGAGGCCCTGGGTTGAAGCTCTACACAGGAGCAGGTGAGGGGATCGAAGTCACTAAGGAGTTGATTTAACTGAAATGGAACTCCAATTACTCAGGACCAGAGTGCTTCTGAATGATGGACATCTGTCTTGTGTGTAATATTATACTAGTGGACACCATTTTTCCAGTAACACAACCATACTATTTTGGACCAAATTCACCACCTGAAGGTCAGCATAAGCACTCTGTTAAATAGAATCTTTTCCTGGAACTTTCTCCTTCTGGTAACACAAGATTTAGGAATGTGTATATTAAAAAACAAAATACTGAATATTTGTTTGTTTTTGGTTTTACTAAACTCTTCTTTGGGTCAATCAGGGGATCAGGAATCTGATAAAAGGCACTTACTGTGTCTTGAAAAGTATACATACTTAATTTAGCACACTATTTTGAGGCCTACTGTCCTTCTTAGTGTTGGATAAGTAATACAGGAATATCTTCATCACTTGTCAGCCTTTTGGCTAAGATCAAGTGTAGGAATATCTTCATGACACTGAGCAAAACAGAAATAAACTAATAAATTCTTATCATTGGGACTGAAGGGAGAGAAGGGGAATGGGAAAAAAAAGCAAGATATATCAGGTACAAATTCCATATGATGAATGTTATCACTATGTGTATCTAAAATGTATGAATAGTTTATTTAAGTCCCCCAAATAAATTCATATTATTGAAAAGGAGGGAAAAAGCATTATGGGGGGGCTGGGGATTTAGCTCTGAGGTACAGTGCCTGCGTGGCAAGTGTGAAGTAATAAGTTTGATTCCCAACAACAACCTCCCCCCCAAAAGTGTTATGTTTCCCAGAAAAATTAGATGTATGTTTGTTTGGTTGTTTTTTTTGAGACTGAGTATTGCTATGTAGTCCAGGCTGTCCTTGAATTCACTATGTAGCCCAAGTTGGTCTCAAATTCATTGCATCTACTGGTTTAGCCTCCCAAGTGCTAAGATTGCAAGTGTCTGCCACCATACTGGGATCCAGACATAGGTTTCAAAGTCACGAATGTGACTAGAAGTACTTTTGAGATTCAATAAAGAAATACAGGAACCAGAACTCTTTGCAATTGTAAGTGAAAGACAACTTAGAAAATCAAATAATTCTGTAATTCACTATTCTGAGATAATCCATTAACATTTTAATGTATTTTTCAGGATTAGATTTTTCTAACTCTATAACTTTTCAAAAATACATATAATACCTTTTTAAAATTTTTTCAGTTTTGCCAAAAATATATTTATTACAATCACTATACCTACATGTTATTTTCACTAACATATTTACAAACATTTTTCAGTATCACAACCTTTTAATGGTTGCATAGTATCACTTAGGAATGCACCACCATCTATCTAACCAATCATCCTGCTGGAAGATTTGGGTTCCATACTCCTTGTTATAAATATATCATGATCATTTCTGAACACAGGCCTCTGCTGAGTTGCTTTATTATGCCTTTAACACATGTAGCAAGCAGTATAAAATACAGCACAAGGTTTTCAACATTGTTAAGAATTTTGATCCCCCCCCCCAAAAAAAAAAAGTGAGGGCTGGGGATTTAGCTCAGCCGCATAAGCGCCTGCCTGGCAAACGTGAGGTCGTCCACGGTACAAAAAAAAAAAAAAAAAAAAAATTTTGAATCGTGTTTAAGCTATCCTTCAGAAAGGTGGCAAGAATTCACATTTTCAACATTTCATAACAAGTTTTTGGTTCCCTACAACTTTGGTTTTTCTTTCCTTCTATTTTTGTGAATCAGATAAGAGTTTTAAACTTTTCATTATGAAATATTTAAAACAAGGAATAAATTGTGGTCACTTTTGTTTCAAAACAGCAATATACCCTCAAGCCTGGATTCTTACATCCCCAGCTTCAACATATATCTAAAAGTAACTTTGACCTGTTCAGCTGAAATGTCTTAAATAAAATGGAATTATATAATCTCATTCAATCTTTCAGATTCTTTTATCCGCAATATGACTATGTAAACTTAGGAAAAACAAGCTTATTGCACTAAAATCACTGTTAACCTTTAATGATTGCCTTCTAGGTCTTTAAGGTTTACAAGTAACTTATTTTAGGTATTAGTTACACCTATACATTTTCCAAACAATATCAGCTAAAAGAGTCACAACTATCTAAGAGATGATATCAGTGACAATTTAACTCAGCAAGTCTCTCTGGAATCCTTACTTACATGAGAATGTCATTGATGGTA